GCTGAGGTAATCTCTACTGACATTGGTTCATTCTCTGAGCAATCAAGGACTGAGTCAATGGAGGTTCCACACACTCTGCATTTGCCTGGCCCATCCCAGGGAGATGATCATGCACTGTTCATGTGCTGCCCACCCAAATAGGTGGTTGAGGCCTCCCTGTGTACATCCTGATTCCAATCGTATTAGAGATTGCCTGTGACTGTCGGCTAGCTGTTAGTCATTTGACTGGCGTTCACGACCCGCTGACCTTGCAAGTGTGTCAGGAGCAGTGAATTATTCTAAGCTCCAGTTTATCTCACATCTACATGATCAGTTGTAGCTTCACCAAGCAGAGGGTTAACTCCGCCACAGCCACCAGGATATAGCAACAATGGTTCTTGGTTATTTCTTATTTTGTCTATATGGTGGTTTGGGGGTCTCTTTCTTGAAGTAGGTGCATGTAGCAGGCTTTCTTTGGGCCACCAACCAGCTCCCAAATCATAGCACAGAGACTTAATATTAATTTTGAATGCTCAGCCTTATCTTATGCTGTGTCACCCGCTCTTATAACTTAACCGGTTTCTCTTCATCTATGTTTTGCCTCAGGGCTTTTTACCTTACTTTCATTCTGCATGTCCTACTTCAAGTCTGTCTGTCTGGCAGCTGCCTGGATGTCTAGTCCCATGCATCTCCCTTTCTTCTCCCTCGTTCTCTCCTCCTCTGATCCTCTGGAAGCTAGATTCCTCTCCTCCTATTTATTCTCTCACTCTGCCTATTACTCTACTGCCTAGCTATTGGCAGTTCAGCTTTTTTTTTTTTTTTTTTTTTTTGGTTTTTCGAGACAGGGTTTCTCTATGTAGCTTTGCGCCTTTCCTGGAACTCACTTGGTAGCCCAGGCTGGCCTCAAACTCACAGAGATCCGCCTGGCTCTGCCTCCCGAGTGCTGGGATTAAAGGCGTGCGCCACCACCGCCCGGCATATCTTTACATTGTTAAACAAAGGCAGCATAAACACACATAACACATCTTTACCTAGTTAAAGTAACATTTCACAATGGGTGGAGGCTTGCTAGAAGCTATTCTTACAATTGAGTCTGTTACAAACAGCTGAATTAAAAGTAGAGAGATTTGAAAGGACAGTAGAGCATCAAGGATTTGGGAGAGCCAGCTGGCCTGCCTTCAGTGGTCCAGAGTCTTGTCCCTCCTCTTCCATGCCTAGCTTGGCTATCTCACGCTCAGCTGCATTTTTTTTTTTTTTCATCTTTTTAGGTGCTCTGGACTCTGTAGGTTTAATCTTTAATCTTTTCAACTCCAGTGTCTGCTCTCACCATAACAAATATAAGCAACCTGCAGTTATTAACAATGGGCCCTTTCCCCTTCCTGCCTGCCTCATTTCCCCTAGAAGAGTGTCCTTATGAGAGAAAGAAGCAAGACTCACTCACTCTTGCTCTCTCTCTGTTTCTTCCCCACCTCCCACCACATACATATATCAGAGAAAAGACTGTACTATGGGACAGAAAGCAAGGAAGAGTTTCCTTATCAGAAACCCCAAATCAATCTTGCAGGTACACGGAACGTGGACTACCAACCTCCAGAGCTGTTAGAAAATAAATTTGTTTTGTACACAACCCAGACACCAAGTCTGTGTATTTTATTGTCAGCTGGGAAGCCTAAAATGCTATTTGTTAAGCACTCTGCTTCATAATAAGGGTACAGACTGAGGAAAACAGAGGCTTTCTCTCTATTGATTAATGGGAGCAAAGGAAAGAGAGGAAAGGAGGGATGATCAATGCTACTAACAAAGCCCACTAAAGAGGATACTATGGCAGCCTTGGGGAGGGGAGATTAACACTGACTGAGAAGTTTGGAAAATTTTGACAGCAGAGGCAATTTATAATGTTACGTCTTTTAGAAAACAGTTTGGGAGAGAAAGAAAGAAATAGAGTAGTTCTTAATTAAGACTTAGAAAAAAATGTAAAGAAAGATGAGGATAAGGGTAATTACATTTGTATTTAGAAAGGAAAAAAGCAATCCATTCAAATTAAAACATGAGAGATGCAGGAATGCACCGAGGCAGAGAAAGGCTATAGAAATCAATCAGCTCTATCAGTTCCAGGTCTTTCAAGAAAGTCCCCAGAGCTACGTGACAAATGTCAGGGGCATCCAGAGTCATTTTCCTAAATCACCAGTGGTTAAAAATAAGGAAATAAAACCTTCAAAAAGGGATGCATACGTAAATATTAGAATATAGGAGACTTGAATTCTTGTAATAAAATATAAAGTTTAATATAGATTTAAATGTTTCCAGGAACAAATATATATTATAGAAAACTCCATTCCATTCAAAAGTAAAGATGCTGAGTCACAGTTCATTTAATGAAGACAATTTTGTAAGTAGAATCGATAGGCCTGTCTGAGAAAATGGAAGTTACAGCATGAATAAACTCAGTCTTTTCATTAGCTTTTCCAGTGTTCTGTGGAGTGGTTTACTGACATTTGCTTGCACAAGTAGTTGCTCCATTGGAAAGGTATTTAAGTAGGAGAGTCTATTTGAGGAATTCACTCAGCAGAAGAATGAATGGCTCATCAATAATTAAATCAACACTATTTATTATTCCCTTACTTAGATGCCCTCCAGTGGTTTGTCTAGAATGGTTTCACCTAGAACTGTACCAGTAGAGAAGTGGGTAGAGGATACATTCCTGTAAGTTACTAACAAACATAAAGTCTCAGAGAAATAATCTTATTTACAAAACCAGTCTGAGATGGTTTGGTTTCTTTCTTAGGAGTTGAAGTTATTTCTCAAAAAAAAAAGCTTTAATATCCAAAATTTAAAGATAATTGTATATCTTAGCTACTTTTCCACTGCTGTGATAAAATACCATAACCAAGGTTATAGAAGAAATGGTTTATTTGGGTTTACAGCTCTACAGAGTCCATGACCATCAGAGGGAAGCAGCAGGCATGGCAGCTGGAGCAGAAACCGAGAGCTCACATCATGAGCCACAAGTATGAAGCAGAGAGAAAAATGCACTGGAGATGGCATGAGTCTTTGAAATGCTCAAAGCCACCTCCAGTGATGTACTTCCTCCAAATAGGCCGCACCCCCTAAACCTTCCCAAACAGCACCAACTGTGACCAAGTGTTCAAACACATGAGCGTATGGGGAGACATTCTCATTCAAGAACCTATATGTGGGAACAAACATTTAATGAACACAGGAATTCCTGGATACTCTGAGCTTGCTGTAACACACAATAATGCTCTTAATTTGTTGTTCTGACCATAATACCTTGCCATCAGCCTTAACTTCTTTCAGTAAGCCCAACTCCCTTCTCATATTAGCTCCATTGGATGTTGTGGAATATTTGTTTAACAATGTAAAGATATGTTGCATTTATATAACTATGTAAAGATGTGCTGCATTTGTTTATGTTGTAGAATATTTGTTTAACTATGTAAAGATGTTTTACCTTGCCTGCCTAAGGCACCTGATTGTTCTAATAAAAAGCTGAATGGCCAATAGTGAGCAAAGACATATAGGTGGGACTTCTAGGCAGGGGGTAGTAAGTAGGAAGAGAAATTTAGGCTGGGGGAAGAAAGAAAAAGATGCCAGGGAGATGCCAGGGGCCAGACAGACAGACACGGAGGAAGCAGGAAAGTAGGACATACAGAATGAAAGAAAGATAAAAAGATTTAAGGCAAAACACTGATGAATAGAAACAGGTTAAATTAATTTAAAAGAACTAGTGGGACAAGACCTATAAGCTAAGGTCAAGCATTCATAATTAATAATAATTTTCTGTGTCTTTATTTAGGAGCTGGTTGGTAGCCCAAAGAAAATGCCAACTACAATTGGAGACACAGAACTCTGGGTACTTATTGTTTACATAGTCTTATCAATGAATCTATTTCTAAAATATACCAGGAACTGGTTGCCACCACTTCAGTCCGGAAACAACCTCCTCTTAGCTAGAGTGTTTCAATCCTCTCAATGTCTCTGTAACTTCACCATAAATCTTTCTCCAAAGAAGAAACAACCCACTCATCTTTAACAGCTAGACTTCTATATCCCTACTAAAAGTGATTGTGTGAGGTATATTTATGGTTTATAGGTTTGGCTTCATTGTCATTTTTACATAATGATGCTCTGTGAATTTTAAGTGTACCTTTTTGTATGTATTTTTGAGAGCTTACTTTTAAGTGTGCCTCTAGAATCAAATTACCAAGCATTAAAGAATTACCCCTTCGACTCAGTGTTGAAAACTGAGCCATCCAGTGACTCACAGTGATTCAGTGCTCAAAGAACATGAGGTTGTTGCCTTTTCCGTCATAACATTGTTTATGGGATGAAATTTGCAATTCTCACTACTAGCAAGCCTCAGGTTTTATTCAGAAAAGAGGTCCAGAATCAGCTGCATTCTCTATACAGAAGGCCACTGAAGTGCTAGCTTTATGCTTTTGGCAAAATATACGTTACTAAAATGAGTCATCCAAAGAACATGTGACAGTTTTCAACTGACTGTGGATTATTTGGGATATAGTATCATCATTAAGGAGCATCTGCAGTGAATTTGCAATAAGTACACCATATGTGACTCTCATTCTTACAGATTACTAGTATGAGAATACAGAAGGAAGAAAACTGGGCAGGACATGCACATGATGATCTAGAGACTCAGAGATGGCCCTAAGGAGACCATGATGCTTTCCCAAGAGTAGATGGGACATACAAACAATACTAGTGTCCATTTACACATATGATGAAAACCAGAGGCTTTTTCAAGACTGAATGAAAGGATTGAAAATTATCACCCTAAAAATACAGGAGGCATTAAAAGTACCACCAGACACGGTAGCTTATGACTACAATTCCAACCCTTAGAAGACTGAGGCAAGGGGATTACTCTTGAATTCCAGGCCAGCCTAAACCAGACAGTGAGTTCCCATGCAGCCTGAGCTTATAGCATGAGACCCTGTCTCAAAATCCAAAACAAAAAAAATAGACAGAACTTCGTAACATCCATAGAGAAGTCACCTGCTTTATTACATAGATGAAAATTTTTACAAGGGCATAAGGTAGGTATAATTGTGCAAAATTGGAAGACAAAGTATTTATGTGCAGATATCACTCTGCTAATGAACAATTTACATGTACTCAATGTGTAAAAGTTCTGAATGTTACTGATGTCAGTATCTGAGACTCACAAATAAGAAAGCACAGAGAGTAGCTCTTCTGACCTGGGTCAGTACTTCACAAACTGATCGCTGAAGCACCATGATGTGATTTTTTTTTTTTACTAAGAATATGACTGAAATACTACTGGCTGGGCTTCATAAAATGTCGTTTAAGGCAATCATTGTAGGAAATGTTATCAAGATTCATAATTGCACAAATCTGTAAGATCTTGCATTTCTGATCACAAGTTACACTGCTGTCATAACTCACATAAAAATAATGGTAGTATTTCAGGAACTGTTTGCTGTCTATGGTAGCAAATTGTTTAGCCAATTCATGCAAGCTCCTTGGCTGTAGATCTGCAACGCCATAGGTCTGAGTCAGTACATACTCCAGTGTCCAGTTGGATTCTCCTTTTAGATTTGCTTCCGTTAAGTTCAAATAATACTGCAACATGTCCTATAATAAAGAAAATAACAACCGCAATTCAGAGTGGTTTCAAAATATGGCCCAAATACATTTCTCTAACAACTTCACTTCAGCTGGGCAATGGTGATGCACGCCTTTAATCCCAGCATTTGAGAGGCAGAAGCAGGTGGATCTCTGTGAGTTTGAAGCCAGCTTGGTCTACAGAGCTAGTTCCAGGACAACCAGGGCTACACAAAGAGAAAACCTGTCTTGAAACACACACACACACACACACACACGTCTCAATACCAAAAACTTGTATTGCTTTTTAAAATTTTCAAACTAATGAAAAAGTATAATAGTACATCATCCAGATACACAGTGAGATGTACAAATAAAGCACCTTAAAATCTCACAGCCTAGAGATGACCACTTACAGCTGATAGAATTCAGTAGAGTACTGAAGGCAGCAGTTTGGAAGAAGAAGAATTAATGTTTATTCTTAGGGAGGACAATAGTATGTATCAAAGTACACAAATAAGGCTATATCCATCCAGTGAAAGCTTGGAAAAAGTGACAAGATCAGCTACAAGGATGTAGCTCAGTTATTAATAAAGTGCCTGCCTGCCTTGCATATGCAAGGTCCTGAGCTCAGTCTCTGCATCCTATAAATCTGGGCATGGGAATGCATACCTGGAATCCCAGCCCTTGGGAGATAGAGGCAAGGGGATCAGAAGTATCAAGAATACAGTACATTTTAGGCCAGCCTGTGCTACATAAGACCTAGTCTTAAAACAAACATATAAAAATGGTCTTAAAGAGATGGTCACCTCCCACAAGCAAAGTTTACCTACCCACCCATAGAGATGACAACAGACATAACATCTTTTGCTGTGGATATCGCTCTGTATGCTGTGAATGTGTTGCTCTGATTGGTTAATAAATAAAATGCTGCTTGGCCAGTAGCCAGGCAGAAAATATAGGCGTGATAAGCAGAGAAGAGAATTCTGGGAACAGGAAGGCTGAGTCAGGAGTCACCAGCCAGACACTGAGGAAGCAAGATATAAAAGTACCAGTAAGCCACAAGCCACGTGGCAACTTACAGGTTAATAGAAATGGGTTAATTTAAGATGGAAGAACTAGATAGCAAGAAGCCTGCCATGGCCATACAGTTTGTAAGTAATATAAGTCTCCGTGTGTTTACTTGGGTCTGAGCGGCTGCAGGAGATGGGTGGACACAGGAAACCTTCAGCTGTAATCTTTAAATAAGGACACCATGAGATATCAACATCAAGTGCCTCTCTCATGGCTAGCTGAGAAACATTCTACTAAAAGAATGAAAACTTCAAAGACATATATATAAATGTATACAGGTGGGGTCAACTGAACTGCTCCAACTTACCAGCAATGTATAATCACCAGGTTTGTACTGAAATAGTCGGACACCAGGATTATTTGTCTCTGTTTGTAGAACTCCTTTCACTGGTGTGACAGCAGGAGCCACAAATGCAGAATTTATTGGACTTCCTGGACCAAAAACAAAAACAAAAACAAAAAAACAAAAAAAAAAAACAACAAAATCAGGTATCTATTATAACATTTTAATTTAAACGTAAAAATATGAATAGCGTAGGTTAAGAGATCAATAGACAAATATTATGTGCCCATTGATTAATCCTCCAATTGTAATTGCCTCAAAGCACTGAGTGTTGCTTTTGAGAAAATAAGGGTATTAATACCAAAACCAAAGAGCTATTACTGATTTTGTTAAGCAGATTAATGTTATTATGGTCATATAAATTACCTATATTTTCTAACAATGAATATACAATTATACAGATCTATAACTGACTTTATTTTTGAAAGTCACCTTTAAACACCAGATAAATAGATAGCAGATAGATGACAGACAGGTAGTTTATAGATTAGATAGATAAACGATGATAAATAGATAGATAGATAGATAGATAGATAGATAGATAGATAGATAGCAGATAAATGAGATATACATGATTGATACAGACATAGATGACAGAACACAGATAAATAATAGGTTTTAGACAGACAGATGATTGATCGATAAATAGATGATAGTGATGACAAAGATGATAGAGAATGAATAGACAGATGCTAAATAAAGAAATACAGCAAGATCTTGAAAGACAATAGATAGATGATAAATAAATACAGCAGGATCTTGATACATATTCAATACAAATGATAAGTAAATGGATTTGTTGATCATATTCTCAGCCTTTATACATATATTTGAAAATTTTTCACAAAAAAAGTCCACCATAACTTACACACACAGACACACACAGAGCAACAACAACAACAACAATCTGGTATTTTTTTATCATGACTAAAGCAAAGTTTCAATAATTATATAATAATTTGATTGGCACAAGCCTTTAATCCCAGAATTTGGGAGAGAGAGACAGATAGATGTGAGTTTGAGGCCAGCCAGGTTTACATAATGAGTTACAGGCCAGGCCAGCCAGAGCTACACAGTGAGACTCTGCTTCAAAAAAAAAATCAAAAATCAAAATCAAAATATTAACATATTTTATAACATGTCTATTATAAGAACCATAAACCAATTTTATGGTTGGGCATGGTGGCACATGCCTTCAATCCAGCACTGGGGTAGGCAGGTAGATTTTTGTGAGTTTGAGGCCAGCCTGGTCTACATAGTGAGTTATATGACAGTCAGAGCTCCATAGTGAATCTCTCTCTAACAAAAAAAGTCATATTATGATGTAAAAAAAAAAAATCAAACCTTAAAGTAGTCATTGTTAAAAGATAATTTGTTCTAGATAAGAGATAAACATTTCAAAAATATTGTCAAAATACTGAAGAAAATATAACTTGTTTCCCTCTTGTCTATATACAAGCAAACTTTTATTGTTTTTTGCTATAACTTCTAGTTTTCCTTCCTTTTACTGTGAGTAAGTGACAAGAGCAATTAATAATGTGCTGAATATTTTAGGACAGTTTGTGAATTGTGATCTGTACTTTAAATTCTGAGAAAAAGTCATATAAAGAGAAATTTGAGTGTAGCAGGTAAACAACAAACAGTATTATTTTCTCCAAACCAAGAGTCTAACAGAAACTTGGAGTAAGCTAAGGCTTTCAGAGGCTTCTGTGTGAATGCCAAACAAGCAATACTAGCCCTGCACAGCTGACCAGAGCTTACGTTGAAGAAATCTAGTCACATGTCTAATCCTATGATTTGGGCATTCACCATATAACCATTCAAGATAAATAAGAAAAGGCAAGGGACTTTGCTTTTAAACAAAGCTTTAAATTCCATAACTAGTAAATGCACTGGTCAGTCACAGCTATGCTCCAGCAAGATGGACTGGAACCTGCATACAGATCACCTTCATTACCTTTTTTATCGGAAAGAACCATAAGGCTGTCTCTGTGGGTGTGGCCATAGAACTGTCCTGCAATGACAGAGCTGTATTTTCTGAAAATATCCACCAGTTTCTCATTATAGTACTGCCTCACTGCTGGGGTACCAGTTGCATAAGGAAGATAGCCCACTGGCACGTGTGCTATAATGTATACCTGAAAAAAGAAATACAAGGAGGTACATGACAGCTTGTTTGTACATTTATCATTACTAAATGACAGCTGGATTGTTGTTGGCTTTCCTCTTTTTGGACCCCACCCACCCAGCTCCCAAATAAATCACACATGGAGGCTTATTCTTAATTATAAATGCCCAATCTTAGCTTGGCTTGTTTCTAGTCAGCTTTTCTGAACTTTAAATTAATCCACCTGCCTTTTGCCTCTGTGCTTTTCCCATTCTCTTATTTCTATAAATCTTACTCTTACTCTGTGGTTTGCTATGTGGCTGGGTGGCTGGCCACTGGAGTCCTCCTCCTTTTCTGGCTCTTCCTTTTTCCTCCCAGGTTTCTCCTTCTATTTATCTTCTCTGTCTGCCAGCCCTGCCTATTTCTCTCTCCCACCTCACTATTGGCCACTCAGCTCTTTCTGAGACTATCAGGTGTTTTAGACAGGCACAGTAGCAATGCTTCACCAAGTTAAACAAATGCAACATTAACAAAAGTAACACACCTTCAAATAATATTCTACAACACTGGATACTCATGACTGAGTATTAACTATATTAACTAAAATTTAGAAAGCAAAAACACTTTCTCTCCTGTTTCTAAGAATAAGGGAAAAAGCTGCAATTATGTAATGATGCATTATGACATATATCTCATTTATACTGCACTGTTGGATGGTATAAGAATATTGACCTGAGGCCGGGCGGTGGTGGCGCATGCCTTTAATCCCAGCACTCGGGAGGCAGAGCCAGGCGGATCTCTGTGAGTTCGAGGCCAGCCTGGGCTAACAAATGAGTTCCAGGACAGGCGCAAAGCTACACAGAGAAACCCTGTCTCGAAAAACCAAAAAAAAAAAAAAAAAAAAGAAGAATATTGACCTGAGTCAACTTTGTTTTTAAATCTTGATTTTTAAGGCATTTATTAATTCCTGATTCTGCTAATTCTAGTCTAGAGGATCTACCTTCTCCTTATTTTGCAGAGAGCTGTTGAGTGTGTTTTCCAGCCATTCAAACTGATTTGCTGGGTCTGTCTTATTCAGGGTCATGACATTCGGGCCATAGTACAGGTTCGTATTTAGGCTAATGATCCTCAAGTCTGGATTACTTGCAACTTTCTGGGAGTAAAAGCCACCTGTAAAAACAAATGTAAAAAACACTTTAGGAAGGTGAACACACAAAATGCAGATACTGTGAAAGTGAATTCTTAAGGCTAACAATGCAGATTGGCATTCTTACTGGGTAAGAATCCAAGTTAACATTAACTGAAAAGGAACCATGGGTCAGGTCCAATGTATAAGATTATGAGGGAAGAGCAGTGGCATTGAATATGCATGTTTGGGTAGTGGGAAATTAAACTGATTTTTTAAGAAATAGTAATTTATATTACAATAAACCACAATGGCTCAAAATGCAGAGCAGTGGAATTATACCCCAACTGCCACGTCTACAACACAACTCCTACACCTACAGTTCAGGGATCACTGTGGAAGACAGGGAAGAAAGACTGTAAGAGCCAGAGGATTGGGGAGTTTCCTATGAGATTGTGTGTTCTAAAAATGTCAGAAAAACTACATACATAAAGTCTCACCAATATGGCTGCCTAAATACAATCTGAACAAGGACACCACCAGTACACATGCTAACATGGAAGGAGAATAGCTCCCAAGGCATCCACCTTAGATAAAGAACTACAGGAAACTAAGGAATAATGAAAATGAGAGAAATAGTCTTCCCCAGGCAAGAGATACCAACTGGTTATCCAATACCAAATGGTCAGCTCTGGAAACATATACATACAAATAACATTATACAGACTGAGCAGGTTGTATTCGTGTATTTAGCAAGCTATATCTCTATCTATCTATCTCTATCTTTCTTCCTATTTATTTGTCTACCTACCTATTTATCTATCTACCTACCTATCTACTTATCTATCTATCTATCCATCCATCCATCCATCCATCCACCTACCTACCTATCCACCATCCATCATGCATCTATCTATCTATTCATCCATCCATCCATCTCTCTCTATATATAGATAGATAGATAGATACTTGTCTATCTATCTATCTATCTATCTATCTATCTATCTATCTATCTATCTACCTATCTACCTACCTATCTATCTATCCATCCATCCACCTACCTACCTATCCATCCATCCACCCACCTACCTACCTATCCATCCATCCATCCATCCATCTATCTATCTATCTATCTATCTATCTATCTATCTATCTATCTATCCATCTATCTATCTATCTATCTATCATTTATCCAGTCACATAAGTAACAACAAAGAAAAGGCATCCATGCATTAAAAGAGCAAGAGGGGAGAGATACATGAGAAAATTAGAGGAAGGAAAGGGAAAGGAGAAATTATGCAATTATATTTTCATCTCAAAAAATAAAAAAATAACAATTCATGTACTAGCTCCTAGTTTTAAATAATAGGACTTAAGCTGAGAGATACTATGAAACATAAAATCTGAATAATGGAAATGCACATGACCCTTCTAGATCCACTCAGAAAAAGAACACATATACCCCACCCCTGAATCAGTGGAGACAGACACCAGAGGAGCTGTCATATTGGAACATTTAGAGTGAGCCCCTCTGTTCTGGTGCCTGATTTCTTTGTCTTGTGCTCACTCACCAAGCATCTATTTCTTTAGCTTTCAATCATGACTGATCACACACAGCCTCTTCGACTTCCATTTTCACCCCTGTAGTCACAACATATTATGATTTTCCCCACAGTAATCATAGTGTGAGTGAGTGTGTGTGTGTGTGTGTGTGTGTGTGTGTGTGTGTGTGCACGTGTCTGTGTGTGTGTGTGTGTGTGTGTGTGTGTGTGTGTGTGTGTGTGTGTGTGTTGCATGTAGAGGCTAGAGGCCAACCTCTCTAATGTCCTTCTTCAGATGCTATATACCTTGTTTATTGAGACAGGGACTCTCATTGGCCTGGACTTCACCAGGCTAGGCTCAAAGGAACACAGAGCCCCAAAGATCCACCTGTGTCCACTTCCCAAGAAATGAAAAAAAGAAAAAAAAGAACATTACATATTTACAACATACAATGGCTAGGAGTAAACATTCTGCTATAGTTTAGATTTGGAATGTTTCCAAACATGTGTTCCTTATGTGTTTGCTGGTCCCAAATGATGGCCTTATTGAGAGGTTACTAAATCACCAGGCAGCATGAGAATCTACCCATTGAGAAGCTAAACAGGCAACCGGAGGTAGGCCCTGGTCAACTACAGGCAGTAGAACACAGGAGGAATGTCTTCAGATGGAATGTCTTATGTCTGTTCACACAGACTCCTGTGCTCTCTCTCATTCTCTTTATCCCTCCCTATCTCTTTTTTCCTCCCTATCTCCTTTTCTGGTTTCCATGAAGTAAGGACCTATTCTCCACCATACTCATCTGCCGTGATGCCTTGGCCTCATCAGGGGCCTGAAGCATTGGGGCTAGAAGACCATGAGCCAATCGACCTTTGAAAGAAGAGACTCAAATGAATCTTCCTTCCTTGTTTATCTCAGGTATTTTATCACCGTGCTGAAATGCTTACTAAACACACATTACTATTCCAAAAGAGAGGAATGGGAAAACAGCAGAGACGGCTCAGACAAAAGCAAGATGGACATTCAACGGGATGAGCATTAAATTTTAACTCTGCGGCTGACATCTACTGTACACAGCAGTGGGACATCAGCTTCAGTTGGGTAGTCCCATGGCCTTCCTGACTGCATGTCACATGCTCTCTCTGGGGCTGGCTGTGCTTACATTTACATCTTCCCTTGGAACTTCTGTGGTCTCCACACAGCTTCACTCTACAGCTCCACACACCATCTTCTCATGGGCTGCCCATGGGAGGGGAGGGAAAGACTGTACCCAGGGAAGGACTCACCATGTACTCCTTATGGTACCTTTCTACACATCTCAAGGCCCATCTGAAAACCTTAGCTATTCTTGCTTTACCAGCTGCTTCTTCATAACATTGTGCTTTTGAGGTCAAAAATATCTGCTCTTTCTTCTCAATCCATTTTCCAATTTAAAACATAAGCTTTCGTTTATATTCACATTCAAAGTTCAGCTTTTTCTTCATGTGATCGTGGTTGAGGATGGGACAGGAAGGCAAAGAACTCCTTCACAAGATACACAGGTTTGCATGTGTCCTAAAGTCTCGCTGCTGCTTACTATCTTTCCTACAAAGTGGACACAAAGACCATCTAGAATTGGAAGCCCCAACCAAATGTTAAAGATTTAAGTCTAAACAAGTAATAAAAAGGGAAGCAAAGGACTGTTCCACTAACCTTTCTTTAAAGTGCTAATAGCTTCTTCATCCAGCCACGGTTTCCAGAGGTCAGCTACAGCACTGTAGACCTTGCTGGTTGCTATTGGCAGCTGGTCCTGGCCACAAAGAAGACAGTCCGCAATTGAAACTTTAAAGATATTTGGATTCATTAATGGGAATATTGCTTGAGTGTTGACTATGTTAGTCATCTGTAGGCACTAAATTTTCTGTCTTTAAAGAATTTGTATAACCTAGCAGAGAAAAGGTAGACAAAAGTTGATGCACTAACTGTACGACATATTGCTAAGAGCTACCATAGCGTCCTAGGAGAACAAAAGGAGAAGATTATGTCAGGCAAGGAATGAAGACAGCATTTAAAGTAGGGATTGAGCAACAATTTCAAGTTGGCATTAAAGCAAAATGCGTGGTCCAGACATAAACACAACAGCAGAGGTGTGCGCTATGTGCAGAGAGATGCTCATGCTTAGGGCCTGGGCAGGGTTTAGATGGAGGATGAGATCAAGTGTGTTCCCAAGACAATGAAGACAGGTTTGAGCCTGCACACACAGGACTGGTGTAGCATGCTGTAAGATTAGAGAAAATTTAATGACTTAAGATTTTAATAAAGTCATTTAGAATACTATTACAAAGCTGCACAATTTCTTCAAGAGTCAGATTTATGCCTGAGTGCTTGTGATTTGCACTAGACTCTTTGTGGAGAGCTAAGTTGTAACATATAGTAACTAAAAAAAAAATAATAAAATATATAAAAAATTAGGAGCTGAAGAGCCAGCTCAGCAATTAAGAACATGTATTGCAGAGGACTGAGTTTGGTTCCCAGCAGCAATGTTGGGTGGCTTACACTGCCAGTAACTCCAATCCCAAAGGATCTGATGTCTCTAGCCTCATACACACACACACACACACACACACACACACACACACACACACACACACACACATACACACACACACACACACACACACACACACACACACACACGAGAGAGAGAGAGAGAGAGAGAGAGAGAGAGAGAGAGAGAGAGAGAGAGATTCCTTTTGGGCTGAGACCTGACTACCATAGAGAAATGAGCTATAAGAAGAAGGGACCTTACCCATGCTTACCCATGAGCTTGGCAGCACCAGTCTTACCAATGCGGAAGTAAATAGAAACCCTGGTCTGCACTGCTAACTTGAGCAGTAATGGGAAAGAACTCCTGGGTAAGTAATCTGCCTCTGATGAACAGGTGAGGCAGTTGCACCTCTCTGTATATGTTTATGGAGTTACCCTGCGGGGTTAGGGGCTTTTAATGGCAGAATTTTACACTAGCATTCTCTAAAATTATATCCCAGATAGCAGTCTTTAGGGAAATTTGTTCTGAAATTTTCTTGTAATGTTTGATATATCTAAAGCTGTGAGGTGAAAGAGAGCAAGGGAATGCAAGAGGAGTTATAGGAGGGGAGAAGAAAGGGTGGAAATGATATAAATACAGTACTCGTGTATGAAACAGTAAAAAAAACTCGTTTTTACATTAAGAAAAGATCAGGAGGGTATGGTGGTGCAAGCCTTTAATCCCAGCATTCTGGAGGCAGAGGCAGAGGCAGAGGCAGAAAGAAAAGAAGTAATAGGAAAAAAAAAATCACAAGGTAGGGACTGGAAATCAGATTCAAGGGAGAGTACCTGTTTAGTTTGTGGGAGACCTTGGGTTTAGAATGTGGGAGACCCTGGATTCAATCCCCATCAGTAAAACCTATAATCTAGAAATGGGGGAAAATGTAATTTGTATATATGCAGCCCAATTTACCTACAGAAAGAACAATTTAGAAGTCAGTATTTATGTCTTTGACTTGCTTTAAGATTTGACTTGAACAAAAACAAGGATGAAGATAAAATAAAATCTCAAAGAAATAAAAAAAAAATTTACTTGGGATATGATTTAATGACCACAACTTTACTTACTGAGGGCTTATGAGGTATCAGGAAATATGCTACACTCTTTTCATATATTATCACTGATATGCACAAAAGCTTTGCAAGGCAAATATTGTCACTCTTGTTTGTAGAAGAGTGACCTATGGAAGAAAGACACGTGAATTGTGATAGGAGAATGTCTTTCTGTATGCTGCAAATATGTGTTGCTCTGATTGGTTGATAAATAAAGCCATTTGGCCTATGGCAAGGCAGCTTAGCGGTAGGCGGGAAATTCAAAGAGAGAGACAGGAAGAAGGCGGAGGAGACACCAGTGAGCCGTCCAAGGAGCAACATGTAATATGACACAGGTAAAGCCACGGAACACATGGCAATACATAGATTAATAGTTATGGGCTAATTTAAGATATAAGAGCTAGCTAGCTAAAAGCTTGAGCCATGGTCATGCAGTTATAATTAATATAAGCCTCTGTGTGCTTACTTGGGGGATGTGAGTGGGAGAGATTTGTCCTGACCGCTGACAGGCTGGGACACAGGAAAAAAATCCAGCAACAGAATTGCCTAAGCAAGGTCTCTGAACAGAGGATGATGGAACTATAAATTCTCATGAACAAATCTCTGTACAAATTGATCCTTTTTGTTTTGTTTTGTTTTTTTGTTTTTCAAGAGAGGGTTTCTCTGTGTAGCCATGGCTATCCTGGAACTCGCTCTATAAACCAGGCTGGCTTCGAACTCACAGACAGCCACCTGTCTCTGCCTCCGGTGCTGGGATTAAAAGCATGCACCACCACTGTCCAGCTTGAGTTTTACACAACTGTAACAGAACACTGAACCATAGCTAAGTATGCACAGGCTTAAAAAATGGCTTCTGTGAGTGACTGGAGTCAGGTCACATCAAGCACTGAATATCCTGAAAATAATTTTTGTCTTGAATTACATCTGAATCAGATAAACTGGATTGGAAGACTGACCTTTGTTTATTTTAATAGTCTTCCTACTTGTGTCCTTAATAATAATCTACCTTAAATCAGAATGTGCTGATCTTCATATGTCTACAGGTTTGGAAAAATGGAAACACCTGTCTATATTAACCTTGCTTTACAGGCCTGTTATGGAAATGACAAATGAACAAGAAAAATATACTGAAAGGACCATGGAAACTAAAGAAGTTTATAACAAAAAAAGAACTGAAAATGCACAAACTATGAAATTTACTTCTAAAGAACATTACTGGCATAATACTTTATGAATTGTTTTTTTAATCATTTGAAAACACCCATAACCTTCCTTGATGGTTATCACAGGAGTACTTCCTTGAGATCCATTCTTATACCCTACCCTTGTCATCATTTTGACACTATTAATAGGGAAATCATCTAAGCACGTCTGGAAGCTGAGGTCAGTTTTACCTGTGGCCAGTAATCATGATTGCCCAGTGCAGGAAAAACCTGGAGGTTTGGAAAGAGGCTCTGGACGGTCATTGTCATGTTAGTGATCACCTTTATAACAGTGCCTGTCGAGAGTTCAGGTACTGGGACATGAGGTGGGCTATCCCTGAAAAGGAGACAGAAGTGTAAAGAATAAAATCCCTAGATTTATGGGTGATAACTTGTTGTAGCTATCATAGATGTCTACTTTAGAATAACAAGTTAAAATTAAAGAGTCAAAGAGTAGCTAATGGTGATGGCATACCCATAGTTCCTACTATTCAGTCAGGGATGGGTTGAGCCCAGTATTTCAAGATCAGCTTGAACTACATAGCAGAACACAACCTCAAAAGGGGTAGAGGGATGGGGTGAGATAAATACTCTTCATCTACTGATAATAGAAAAGGGGGTAGGTGGTAATACAGGAAATTCTAGCCTATTTTACCCCCTGGCTGAAGATTTATAAGAAACAGCACAGAATCAGAAAAGTGCAGACTGCAGGACCAAAAACATAGACTCAAATATCTGTTTTACCAACAAGTAATTATATACACGTGGGCGAGTTGTTTAGAATCTCAGTGTCTTCATTTCCTCCCCTCTATCATGGAAATAATATGATCGAGGGATATAAATATTAATAAGTTGCAGAATAGAAGTTAATTAAAACAGTCCTCCACACAAAGTAAACACCTTATAAAGATTAGCTATAGCCCATATTTAGGAATTAGAAATACAGTCCTCGGGCTGGAGAGATGGCTCAGAGGTTAAGAGCACTGACTGCTCTTCCAGAGGTCCTGAGTTCAACTCCCAGCAACCACATGGTGGCTCACAACCATCTGTAATGAGATCTGGTGCCCTCTTCTGGTCATACATGCTGTATACAAAATAAATAAATAAATCTTTAAAAAAAAAAAAAAGAAATACAGTCCTCACCACAGTATTCTGATGGATGGACCTAGTTAATTATCCCCCCATAAAATGATGCTTCGCAAAACTGTCATCACAAGTTAACACCCATTATTGTCTTTTGTTCTTAATTATTTAACCAAAACTTATTGTTGTATTAATCCATATTACAAGAAACTAATGCAAGTGTGTTACTAATGGAATCATCTCTTAGTTAACATAAACATATTTATAAAGTCTATACCACAGGAAAAAGAATCCCCACAGGATGTCTAAAACTGTTTTTAGCACTAATAATATTGACTAATGTGGTCTAGTATTTTTTTACATAACATGTTTTATTAAGTCTGAGAGTTGCACATATGTATACAATTTACCTTGATCATAGTCATTTCCCATTCCCACTAACTCATCCTAGATCAACACCCACCTCCCACTCCCTCCCGACTTCATGCCCCCTCTTTTTCCTTTTTAGCTGAGTCCAATTTGCACTGGGACCTTTCACTGTAGCATAAGACCTAGCCTGCTTTAACACAAACAATTCTTTATGAAATTTAGCACACTAATGAAGATTGCCACACTGTTAGGACAATACTACATAATTAAGAGTTTATGTACGTTCTTACCCTGTCCATATCATGAAAGATGCTTCTTGTCCTGAATTCTTAATAAAATCAAATGCTGACAAAATAAGTTGATATGGAGAGTCACACAGAAAATCTCCAAAGGGGCCAGGATTGGAGGCATTTGCACCTTTAGATGAAGCACACACCTTGGTGTGGTCATCTGTGATGTGGTAAGTCGGGTCTAGATGCAAGTCAGTCACATGCCAAAACTGTCCTGTTGGTTAGAAAAGAAATACCGATAAATTCGTGTTTAGAGTAAGACCAAGACATCTACTCCCCTCACCACAGAAGGAAGTTGTCACAATTTCAGGGTTATACTACAAAGTTAAATGCAACTCTCTCCTGTGAGATGAAGAAGCGTCACATAACGGAAGAACATACAACTTTCACGTGTGAAACCAGTGAGTCCAGAGTTAGCATGACTACTCAGCAAAGACTCCAGGAAAGATGAGATTGCACAATGAAACGCTTGGTGCCATCTTTCTGAGAGGCCAGTGAGATCATATCCTATTGTGTCTCAATAGCATGTCTTCCTGCAGAATTGAGACATTATTGGCTTTACTCTTGTAGAAAAACAATCACTTAAAAATACTGTCTACTGTACCAAGATTGCACAGGTAGATAGAGTGCAGAATCAGGAAATGTTTATCTCAGTTAATTCTTATACTGAGTTAATTTCTCTCAGCATTAAAGGAAAAAACAAATCTTGAATAAAAGCCATGACATAAACACGATTGCTTAGATGTTCTTTAAAGCTAACTAATCAGAGGTAAAACCATCATACACTTGTACTCAATGTTTATATTATGGGAGGCAGTTCTTAAAAGACAAATTTTCTATTGGGCTCAGGGAAAAGCCAAATTTATTTTTGCAGTAATCCTACATGGAAATCGTATTAAGAAATAGTATTTCATTGAAAGAATTATTAGAACAAGTCATGATATCTTTCACTATGAATCTGTGTTATATGCCAGGTGTAGGTTTATTTATTTATTTATTTATTTATTTTGTTTTTTTTGAGACAGGGTTTCTCTGTGTAGATGCAAGTCAGTCACATGCCAAAACTGTCCTGTTGGTTAGAAAAGAAATACCGATAAATTCGTGTTTAGAGTAAGACCAAGACATCTGCTCCCCTCACCGCAGAAGTTTTGGTGCCTGTCCTGGATCTCACTCTGTACACCAGGCTGGCCTCAAACTCACAGAGATCCACTGGCTCTGCCTCCCGAGTGCTGGGAGGGATTAAAGGCATGGGCCACCCCTGCCTGACAGCCAGGTGTAGTTTATATGACAGATATGGTATTAAGAAATTCGTATATGTTGTATCACTTCATTCTCAAAGGGACTCCATGAAGCTGAACTTAATATTTTGAGTTTATAATAGAGAAACTAATGTCGGGTGTGGTTTGAATGAGAAATATCCCCACAGGCTCAGGTATTTGAATATTTAGTCCCCAATTAGTGAAGTGGAGTTAAGGAATCTTTAGGAGGTGTAGCCTTGGTTGAGGAAGTACCTAATGGTGGGATGGGTTCTGAGAGTCCATAGCCTTTCCCCCCACCCCCGCCGTCTCTGTTTTCCATTTGTGGTTGAAAATGTGACCATTGAGCTTCCTGATCCAGCCCCATGTGCCATGCCTTCCTATCCTGGATCTAGAAACCCAAATAAACTCTACCTTCTAGAAGTTGTATTGATGGTGGCATTTATCACAGCAACAAAAGTTCACTAATACACTGAAATAGGAAGTAGGAATTTTGGTAAGCATACACAACTTACATATGATCCCGCATATAAGGGAGCCCATATGTTGAAGAGCTCTCAAGTTTCCTTATATATAATTTATATATAAATTCATCCATTGTGTTGCTCTCTCATATATAATTAACGACTTCAACGCTGACATGTGTCCAGCTTTAAAAGCCATGATGTTTTTTTACTTTTCTGAAAGCATAGGAACCTTTAGGACACCAGAACTGAATTTTGGAATCACAGGAGATCAAACATTTTCCTTATTTTGTTTTAATTACCATATTATTTAGTGAGTATATTCTTTGCATTTTTTCAGACTGTCCTCTTTAACTGCCCTTCAAAATAACCCTCCACATCTGCTGCAAAAACATACTTAAAAGAGTTTTTAACTCACTCTGTTTTCAATTTACACCTGAAATATATCAGAAGAAACAGCAAAAACAAGTAGGATGCAAACTTTTTAATCTATGCAAAAACGATAAAACTTAACAAAACCCAATGGAAACACACAGTGAAAACAGTTATGACGATGTCTTGACTGTTGATTTGAGGCATGCCTATGAGGAACTCTTGAGTCCTGATGTAGAAGGACCCAGGCCACAATGGTAGGCACTAGTCTCAAAACACATGATCCTGGATTGTGTAAGTGGAGAGAGAACTGGGTACAAGTAAGCATGGGTCATTTCTTCTCTGTCTGCTCTTGACTGTGGATGTGACCAGCTGCTTTATGTTCCTGCTCTGGCTTCCCAGCAACAACGAGGCAACCATTTGACTACAGCCACAGAAACGAAATTAAAACAGCAGTGGACTCGTTAAGTAGCAAGGACAAGTTATTGTTTTGGGGGTCAGTTCTTGCCAGTGTCATCATAATTTTATAACAAGGGTTTACATGTAAGAAGTATAGAAGACTTGAAATCCAGATGGAAGTTGAAATAAAGTAGTATCCGTGGTCAATTACTCAGTACTTAATCAGTCTTTGAAAACATCAGCCAAGAGTAATTTCTTTCTTTCCACACAAAGCAGAAAATGCCCTAAACTTTATCTCGAGTTCAGTTATACCGTATCCCAGTACACAAAGCAGAGTAGGCAGATTGATTGGAATTATCATACAGGTTGCCCTTCCATCTCACTTTTTATGTAAACCTGTGTTCATACTATTTGTAGAATGTAAACATGCAGTAACTACACATAAAACAGAATGGCGTTGTGACACCAAAGTCAGACAGCCTGACTTCTGACATAATCTCTACCACCCAGTAATTAAAGTTGGCTGTGTGATCTTAGCCTGTATCATCTGTCAGATGGAAATGTAATGGTGTCCTGTAAGATAATAGGTATCTTAGCTGTAGCAGAAAGCAAGTCCTTAGAAGGCACATGACACTGAGCAAGCTACATTTTAGTTTTGCTATCATTATTTTAGAAAACCTGCCATCTGTAATTGAATTTCCCCATTTGCATGTAACAGTTCAACTTCATCAAGTACTTATGACATGTTTAGTACGTTCTCTAGGCTTTTCATCATTATTGTCCGTTATAACAGACAGAGAACTGAAGTGCACAGAGATTAAGCTAAAGTCGCATATCATAAAGAGGGCTGAGACACTGATTCAGGAATCTCACCGCAGAACTCACATTATTGCTTTTAACCACTGTACACTGCCTCCCACATACTTAGTCAAATGGGCTGCCTCACACGAAAGTAGATAATGGTATCTACACACAAGGTGCAGTGAAGATTAAGGTAAATAAGATCATGAATGGATTAAGTTTTCATAATCCGAAACTTGAAATGGATTAGGGCACATCCTTCCGACAGAATCCAGTAGCTGGTTCACAGAGTTCCAAGAACTGGGAATTTGCCTGATAGAGTGGGCCCTTAGCAAAGACTCTTTAATTTATAACTAATGACATTTAGGCAAAGGCAGATTTCAGGCTTCCCTCCATATCATGTGACTAGTCAATGAAAGCTGAGCTAGAACCAGTTTCTCCAGATGCCCAGGTGCTGTTTCTACCACATTGCTGGATAGACAAATGAGTGGATAATAGTTTCACTGAAGGATAGCTTTAAATGAGTCAGAACTTCTGGAGGTTTTACATCCTAAACGTAATGAAATTGTACATAAAGAGTGTGTGTGTGTGTGTGTGTGTGTGTGTGTGTGTGTGTGTATGTGTGTGTAAAAGGCCACCAGTCTGGCCTGTGATACAGTCAGAAACACACTCGAGTCGAAATTTTCTAGTTCAAAGTCCAAAATACTTTACCACAATTGTTTTTTTCTTCTCCAGATAATCTTTTCAAAGATTTCTCTAGAAATAATGCTTCCCACATGTCTAGACAGATAAATGATCAGAATTGGTCTAGACAGATGCTCAAAATTTCCAAGAAAAAAAATTTAAGTCAAAGAATGTTTAATAACTTGTCCCAGCAAACCCAATGAACCACAACTGTAGGGACAACTGTATGTAGTTGTTTAAATAGGGGTTGGTTTATCTGTTTATAATGTCAGTTCCTATGTGCTAAATACACCAGTAAATGACAGTCTACTAAATCAAAAAAAAAAAAAAAAAAAAGGAGCCAAACACATTCAAGTAAACAACACCAAGGTAGTTATCCTCCAGTCACCTGGACTTGGCAAGGGAGAAAGCTAGGCCTGGGAATTTAAACACAGTGAGAAAGCAAGCAGAGAATAGTCTGGGTGGAAGTTGTGGGGCAAGTGCCAGGGAGAAAGAAGAGAAAGCATGGAAAATAATCCATGCAATGTGAAACCCCTGAGTCAACACATCTGGTCATGGACTCCAGTTAGCCTAGGCAGTAGGAGGTGATTCAACCATGTCACCTCCCCTACCAAAACAGGAAACTAAATGAAGATTCACATGACACACACACATCCTCCCCCCGCCCCCCCCCCCCGCAAGCAAATTTGCACACGAAGGCTTTCAGCAATTAACTCTAAAAGGTGACTGGCTTTGCCTGTGGTGCAGCCTGAGACATCTTTAGGTCAAAATCCTGAAGAGTCACCAATTTAAATAGCCAATTCCTGGTGCTAAGCCTACTGCCTGACGGACACAATTCCAGCAGAATAAAAACACAAGGCAACAGGATACATACATACACAGTCGGGGTGGGGGGATTCTGTTATGATTGTTACTTGCCAGAGTTGGCAAACCAGACATACAACTGTGGCTTGCAAAGGCTTGACAACTAAGTTCATGCTCAGGCAAAGATAAGGGACCCGCCCCCGCTTCGCCCTCCCCGCCCCGCCCCCGCTCCGCCCCCAGAACATTCCTGAAGTCCTGTGCAGATAGATAGAACGGCAGCTTAGAGAGGAGACAGACGGCAGAATTTCAGTCCTGAGCACAGCCAAAAGTCTCAAGTACAGCTAGCTCCCTAAATCAAAAGAGAAACCCTCTCCTAGCAGCCTCACCCAAGCTAGAGTAATTATTTTTCAAGAGAGCTGGGGGGAGGGGGGAGGCGACCTTAATTTTTAAACCCAGAAGGCATCCTACAATCTTACTAAACAATCAGTCTGAAGATGGATTCCCCAGCTTGAGAGAGATCAGAAGTGTTTAACTGGCCCCAGGTACCCATCCCCACAAGTCTGGATTCAGTAATTATGGAGTGGGGCTGAATTTATCGCATCTTACCAAGTTTAGGAGCTACTGTTGGCTGCTGCTTCTGCTGGGGGTGAGGGGCGAGGGGACGGAGGGGCAGGGGGCGGGGCAGGCACTGGCTAAGTGTTACAGAACAGAACTGTTCACCACGCAAAGACCCAAGTGCAACAAGGGATAAAGAAGACCTCACAAGTTTTACGGTGAGCATGGGAGGGACGAGAAGCCTGGAGACCTGGCGAGGCAGAGAAAGCCTCCGACTTCAGTGAGCAGAACAGAACAGAAGGACGCTCTGTGTAGGACCCAGGTGTGGGGACTCTTGTCTGTCCCCCTCAGCTCTGGGCAGACTGGGTGACTTAGGGAGTACCCACAGCAATTCTTAGCTGCCTTTCCCGCCCGACCTCAGCTTGGGCTTTCTTCCCCCGGGAGCAAAACAACCCAGACCCAGGATGTAAACAAACGCCCAGCAGGCGACTCGCTACTGGCTCCCACGGACTCCCCCCTCCCCGCACGGTGGCCAGGGGCCCAGTGACCTTACTATCTGGCCTTGGACCACAGTGCCCAGCGTGGCTGTGTCCTATGCCCAGCCGCCCACGCACGGTCGCGACTTCGCCGGTCCCTTCCACAGTCCCGTGCACAGTTGCGATCTACTCACCCACAGTTGGGGCCCGACCGGCGGGCGCCAGGGGCACCCCGAGGCCCGGGTGGCAGAGCCAGGCAGCCAGCAGGCAGCAGAGGAAGGTGCCCAGCAACGCCATGGCGAGCAGCGGTCACTGCCCCGGAGAGGCTAGGCTAGGGCGCCGCTGGGACCCACAGGCCCTGGGGGTGGGGAGGAGGCCAGAGCCGCTCTGGGTGTAGACGCCCAGCAGATCACGTGCAAGGACAGATTTCCCCGAGCGTAAGTTCTCCTGACCGTCTGGACTGTAATTTTACTTTAATATGCTTCCTTATTTCTTAGGTCAGTGGGAAGGAATATTCTTGTGCCAACCCCATGCCCATTATCTTCCCTGAACCCCAGGAGCGCCTGCCTGACAGGGCCACTTAGGAGAGGTGCTGAGAGGGGCGGGGAAACTCTGAAGTGTGTTTAAGACATTTGAGTAGCAGATGGGTCTGAATTTCCTCAGTTTCTGCACCACCCGAGAGACTCAGGACAGAAAGGCAAATTCCCAAGCCTCAGGCCGGCTCTGGTGAATCACACTCCAGGAATGGAACCCAGCAGCGTATTGGCTTCCCAAGCCTCCAAGGTGATGCGTCGGTGGAGTTTGCAAACACGTCCCGGGTTCACCTGAACCCCCCACTCCAACTGAGTTACAGCACGTCCTCATGCAATACACCTGGTCAATGCAAATAGAGACTGTTGACTTTACACGCCAACGGAAGTTTGGGAAACTATTTTGGCAAGGAAGCCAGACTCCCCAACTGTGTTTGACATGTATTCTGTGTTCTTTGGGCTTTTATGAGAATGAAGTCTCTTTAAAATAAAGCCAATAACTTTAGTTTATAAGGCGTGGGGTTTATAAGGAGAAGACCACACCTTTGAGAAACACTAACCTCATAAAAGAGGGGAACCGGAGCACCTTGAAGCTGTGCTGTGTTAAAAGATCCTGCAAAATACTCTACTTTAGCTGAGTTTACTGGGGGAAGATAGATGTTTTAGGTAGAGAGCCAAAATTTTCCTAGGTTATCTCGGTCCCTTTAATAATCAACTGCCTTAACTTGTGTATCTAGCACAGCAGTCTCATGACTAACAGGGTAACTTAGAATACATCACTAAGCTTAATTACTCTTTAGATTCCTCCAATTGTAAAATGAAGAATACTACTTCTAAATGCTATAGATTTACCTACTTGGGTTTACATTTTTTCTACCACGAACATAACTGGTAAATGTATTGATTTATTACTTTCTTCATTCTGTAACTACACAATTTTCTATAACCTATTCCATGCCGCAACAATCACTTAGAGAAAATTGAATCTGTGTTCCCAGCCTAGGAGCACACCTATTTGGTTCAGAATACATTATTTTTATATTTTCGCCAGGTAATTTTACCAAAGTGTTTTACAAATAAATTTTCCATCAGAGAAAACGTTTTTTACATTTATATAATTTAGTGATTGTATCTCATGAAAAGAGTTTTTTAATGAACACGAACTCCCTTTTCAGATCCTGCCAGACTCCTCCCAAGCTTGCTGTAGCTTCCAGGTGATTCCAGCAGGACAAGCACCACAACCATTTTCAGGCTCAGACAAAGTGGTCTCTGCAGTTTCTCAGTCTGTGATCTAAAGAGTATAGGGGGAAGTCAACCAGGAAAAAGATCATGAGCCTGAGATGGAGATTACAAATTATCACTGGTAAGATAACGTGAGTGTGGATGTTTTATTAGAAAATAGCAAATTGCAATACTAATGTTTGCTAATTCCTGTGGGGAGCCTACCAGACAGTTGATAGCCAATTGGAAGTTTTTATTCCAGCTGGCTGGGACTATACTCAGGTATCGAGACTTAAATGTATCCCAGAGCATACTGAGCAAGAATCTCTTAAAGGCAAAAACCATTTCCTGGTGTCTCACTTTGCAGCTGCAGGGGTAGGTTTAAGAGAACCTAAGTTAGCTGGGGCATCTTGGCCTCAGGTCCTAAAATAGAGTTGGGTAAGTTTCTACTGGGTTCTCCATTAAGGAGATCCAATTCCTGTGAACCTGAAATGGCCTCAGCGAGAATACAAGATGGAAGAATCTCTGCACTGTCTTGCCCTGTCACACGAGTTTTATTTTGTTTTGTTTTCAATTTCTAAGACATATTACAGGAAGTAAATTGGTTATGAAATAACTTTTCAGTTAAGAAGCCAAATGCAAGCTTGGTGATGGTGCCTTTAACCTCAGGACTCGGGAAGCAGAGGCAGGCAGATGTCTGTGAGTTGAAGGCTTGGGGGGTCTACAGAGTGAGCTCCAGAACAATCAGAGCCAGAGCTGTTACACAGAGAAACCTGGTCTCCAAAACTCAAAAAGAAGAAGAAGAAGGGGGAGGAGGAGGAGAAAAACAATGACAGCCTCCTGTCTACTGCACTTTCGTTTTCCTTTCTACTCATTAGGAAGCTCAAGGCTTCAATGTTCCACATGTGGATATACCTGAAATGGAAGCCTGCATCTGTAGGTCTCCAGGCCCGGAGCGTACATGTTCATCTGAACTAGGAAAAATGGGAGATAAATGCAAAAAAAAATTCTGATGACTGACTGCCAGTGGTTGTTACAGTTTCATCTCTGTTGCCAAGAGGAAACACTCAACTAAAAGAGTTCATGGAAGGTGTCTTAGTCATTGTTCTATTGCTGTGGATAGACACCATGACCACAGCAACTCTTCTAACAGAAAGCATTTAATTGGGGCTGGCTTATAGTTTCAGAGGTTTAGTCCATTCTCATCAGGATGGGGAGCATGGCAGCATGTAGGTAGGCATGGTGCTAAAGAAGTAGCTGAGAGTTCTATATCTGGATATGAAGGCAATAGGAAGAGAGAGCCACTGGGCCTGGCTTGGGCTTTTGAAACCTCAAAGCCTACCCCAGTGACACATTAGTTCTAACAAGGCCACACCTCCTAATCCTTTCAAATAGTGCCACTCCCTAAGCCTTATGAACCTACGGGGGTCATTCTTATTCAAACCACCACAGAAGGTAATGGTTTCTTTTATAGATTACAGCCCATCATTAAGGGAAGTTCAGGCAGAAACTCAAGATGGAGCTTGCAGCAGAAACTGAAGGAATGATACCAGATCTCAGATAGATTCATACTTAGCTAGCTTTCTTTTAGAGTCCAGACCAGTTGCCCAAGGAATGGGGTCACCCGGAGGGCTGGGCCCTCTTCTATCTACCTATTAACAATCAAGACCCCACATCTATGTCTACAGGGCAATCTGATCTGGGCAGTCTCTCCATTGAGACTCTCTTCCCAGGTAAACCTAAGCTATGTCAAGTTGACAGTTAATGCTAACTAATACAGTGGTCTATGACCGGATTTTACAAAACAGCTTCTAGCTTAGTTTATATAGTTGAGAGCTTGAAATTTCCAAAGTGGTGTTCCCTTAATCTCTTGGTCAAATTGCCCTTGGTTATGGTAAATATCCCCTTCTCTTTAACAATGTTGAGGGGTGGGGGGTGAAAAGTTAGTATATCTACGCATTATTAAGGGAAATAAAATTTGATTTGAAGAAAAATGAATTCCAACTACTTTTAAAAAGTTAAAGAATAGAAATATCTAGTAATACTAGTTCTATAAATATACATATGGTCTACCACTGCAGCTCTTGATTTTTTTTTAACCCATTGTGATTCATGTTATTTCCTATTCAGGCCACTCAAACACCTTTCCATTTTTTAGTGTTTTGGAAATTAATACCAATAGGCTGTGTTTTAGCTGTATTACAATGAACTGAAGAAAAATCCCACCCTTAGTTCAGCAGACCAGAGTCCATGCTTCCAAAGCAAGAGTCTGCAGCAGAGACAGTGGCCGTACTGATGTAGAATGAACACCTTCTCAAAGTCCTGCTTTAGGCTCTTTAGGACCAGTGACTTTAAATTATTACTTTGACAGTAATAATTTTTCATTTAAATGTTTAATTTTGTATTTTCGTGCTCTATATTAAAGTACATGAGTACCTAGAGACATAGCTCAATGCTTAAGGGCACTTACTCTCTTCCAGAGAACCAGAGTTTGGTTCCCAACACCCAAGTCTGGTGGCTCACAACTACTCTAGCTCCAGGAAATCTGACACCCTCTTCTGGCCTCTGCAGGCACCCACATATACCTCCATGCAGGCGGCGGCGTGTGTGCGCGCGCGCGCGCACACACACACACACATTATAAAGTATTTTCAACTGCACATTGAGAATTCTTAATATAGAAATTGGAAATTCAAAATGCTCCAAAGTCCCAAACTGACATGACACCACCAAGGGGAGGTTCCATAGCTGAGCTTACGTTGCAGAATCTAGTCAAAATTCAAGGGCGTTGAAATATTTTACAAAATTGCCTTCAAGTATGTGAAGAAGGTGCATATGAAGCATAAATGAATTTTATTTTTAGATCACATTTCTAAGATATCTTGTCATGTACATGTATATCCTAAAATCCAAAACACTTTTTGTCCCAAGTATTTTGGGTAAAGAATATTGAGCCAGTCTTACAGCAATCAGGTAATGGCATCATCGTAGTGAACCATATAAATTAAAGAACATTTCCTCACATTTTATATTTTGACCTTGAGTTCACTTATAAAAATGTGATGAAACCACAATATTGCATTAAAATAAGCATTACATATTTCCCCCTAAAAGATATTTTACTATACCCCCCCCCATAGACACTTATGTACTAAAGCTAATAGACGAAAGGTTGGCTAAGGAATAAGCAGGAGAATAAAATGTTACAGTTTTGTTTTAGAAAGAAACTGAGCCAAGATGCTGAGTTCCAAGAGGATGTAAAGGGAGACAGGGGAGCTTGCCATTCTCAGTATTGTTTAGTAGTCATGAGAACTTAGCCAGGCAACTGTAATCCTTGTTTTACTCCATCGGTAGAATACGTACAGCATTCCCTGCCTTGTTTTATGTCATGGGTTGAGAAAATGACCAAAGAGCATTTTGCAAGTAACAAAATGTAGTCACACTTGTTTGTACGTACATCACCAATGCAAACCAGCTACAAAAGATACTTGTTTTGGTTTTGTCAAGTCAGTTGCCATCATCCCTTCTACGCAACCCCAGGCAAAAGGGGAATTTGAACTCTTTAAAGGATTCTCTGTATTTACTTCCTGTTTACATTCTTGATTTAGTAAAGTTCAGTGTAGTGAGGTGTTTGGAGATTCATGCTAAGAATGGAGGGCGAAATCAACTTCCTTTTCCTAATTACCTTTACTCAAAAACTTTGATAAATGACATTGTGATTGCATGGCACTAGATTACATTTTTTTTAATCACATTTTGAAGCTTCTCATTTTCTTTCTTTGGACTGTTTTTTAACAGCAGAAGCTCATTTTTGTTGTCCAAGTCACTGTGACGAACTTCCTTAGGGCCCTGACCAGATTTATTGATTCAAGTTTTGTCATCAAAGCCACAAAAACATGGCATCTCCACATTTTCTGGGTCACCCAGTTATTTTATGAATGAATATTTTATACAAGGCAATACTTTTCCAGTGTCAGTTTATGCTATAAGAAAGGCTATTTTATTGAAAACTCTCCAATAGACAGTTCCTAGACAGACTGATGACATTAAAAACAACAGTCAACTTTTTATGCGTCTATACTTTTTATTCCAATTGAGGTTATCCAAAGAAAATCATAAGTATTCCCATCTTTATAAAAAGTTATTATAAAATTGTAGCAAATTACAAAACAGGGACACTTTGCATATCAAAATTCTATGAGTTGCTTGGAGTTGCATATCTTTAAATTATAATTTTCTGCCTCCACACCAAAGACAACCATCTAATGAGTGAGCAGTGCTGTAGTAGCTAGTCATCTCTGAAACTCCAGCAAAGCGAACTTCCAAAGAACCGCCGTCTCCTCTATGCCTTTTCATAACAGCGCACAGCAACAGTATCACCAATGGTCAGAGTCTGAAATAGTCAAAAGAGAATTGAATCTTTTTACCCAGGAGTATTCATGGCTGAAGTTTTATTGTGGATATGATTTCCATATTAAGCATGAAGAACAAAGACATTCACAACTGTTAAATGTTGCATACACTTTTTGTTTCCTAACCAACCACCCAACCAACCAAACAAACAAACCCCACAAATTCAATGAGTGAAACACACAAGCTCATGATGTTCAGGTTTCTGAAAATGAAAAGGGGGCAGAAACTGACTCTGCAATTGAAATTACGTTTAAAAAAAAAAATCCTTTTGTGTTACATTATTAAGGGAACTAGAACAAATTGGATGCAAGGAATGTACATGGTGGTGTCTCACTGTGGCCTCAACTATCGGTTTTGAAAGGGGATTTGATTTATGATAAATTTTCATAACAGTTTTCAATCCATAATCTTGATTGATTTCTTCAGAAAATACAAACATCTGAGCTCATGGTATCTTGAATGATTTATTCTAAAATCAGCAACAACACACCCTACAGTATTCTCTCTACTTTGACTGTCGTGTTTAGCCCATGTGAACCTACCCCAGGTGGTATGTGGCAATGGCATTGAATGTTAGCTCTCTAACTCTGAACTTGAAGAATTACTATAAAGTCACTTTTAAATATTAAGGTGTATGCTCATGATTTTCAAGGATTGGCATGAGTCTCATGCCTTTGCTTTAATCTCCATTTCTGAATTCTGTCTTGCCTGATCACAGTCATAATTCCCAAAGGCCACCTTGCTCCAGCTTTCTATAGACAGGAAAGAAATGGAGGTGACATCATAAAAAAAAATAGCTTCAGGATTATTGTTAGAAATGAACTCTTCCTTAGTTGATGATTCCAGAAAAAGCTCTGCTTTCTGCTCCCCCAACCTTACATATATGAGAAGAAGTAAGTACATTTCAGTTCTGAGTAGCTCTGGCTGTGCTCTTAAAGAAGAGGGAAATCTGTTCTGTAACAGCAACAAAAAAGACACTCGTTGATCTTACCTTAGCAGGAGTTTGTAAAGGAACCCTCAACATCCCCAAGAGCAATGAGCCAGTTTAACAATATCACTGTCATCTAAATCACATTTCTATTTTTGAAATGGTCTCTATAGACAGCTGACTTGAGCTCCTGGGAGCTCAAGATCTCTGGACCAACAGTTAGGAAGCGTGAATGGGACCGACCTAGACCCTCTGCGTGTGTGTGACAGTTGTGTAGCTTGGTCTCTTTGTAAGGCTCCTAGCAGTGGGATCAGGACCTGTCCCTGGTGTTTAACTGGCTTTTGGGAACCTGTTCCCCATGCTGGATTACCTTGCCCAGCCTTAGTGCAGGGGGAGGAGCTCAGTCCTGCCTCAACTTGATATGCCATGATTTGTTCAAGCCCATGGGAGGCCTGCTCCTTTCTGAATGGAGATGGGGGTGGTAGATGGGAGTCAGGGTGGTGGGAGGGAATAGGAGGAGAAGAGGGAGAGGAAACTGTGGTTGGTATGTAAAATAAATAAAAAAGTTAATAATATAAGACAAAATTTAAAAAATGGTCTCTATCAGTCTAGATGAAGGCTTAACTTCTACTAGGGAAATTATTTATAAAATGATTTTTTCTATTTTATAACATTTACATGTCTAGTTATCATTGAACATATGTTTAAAATTTAGCTGATTCATTAAAAAAAAACTTCAAGGAAGTAACATCAAACAGTTCTAGTAGAAATTAAAGTTTCATCTTTTGTTAAACTCTAAATTATTTGCACTGAGCTTTTGTAAACTGGAATATCAAATGTTTAAAATGCTCTTATGACCATATCTAATAAGTAACTTCTCTGAGATTCAGTTGTTTTATGTTTTAATATCAGCTATCTTCATATCTTTCCTGAACAATATTTTAATATTTGAGTTTCAGATGAAGATTGGAGATGCATAGCGATCCTATGATGACAGTTCTTGACACACAGTTCTGGGTAAATGGATGTATTCTTTTAAGAGTTCATATAAGCCACTGAGGCAACACCTGTTCCGATCTTTAATTCCTCCTGTTTTACGTATTACTAAGGAATCTGGGTAGACACATGCTGTTATAGAAGAAAGAAGGGAGGGAGCCACAGGAGAGAAACTTAGGAAGGGGAGGCGAGAGGAGAGGAAGAAAGAAAGAAGGGTAGAAGGGGGCATGGACAGAAAATGAAGAACTCTTAGGACTTACCACGATCATTTTGCCATCCTTAATTTCTCTTACACAGTCTGTTTCTTTGCCATCCCATTTCTGAACGTGAATAAGTTTGTCTCCATCCAACCGAACAACAGACTGAGACCAACAACAAAAATGTGGATGATTAACAGGTAGAAGTCGATTTTGAATAGACGTCAAATGACAGGACTTTTGGAGAGTGCCATAATTGAGTATATCACCAATAATTATTCTAGCAGTACTTCGTCCTCTATTACTTCGAGATTCACTGTTATCCAAAAATGTGGTCAAATATAATTTGGCTGAAATGTATACAACCAGTTGCAAAAATGTTCTATATCCGAAATAAAAACACGGAACTATTTACTCTTCCTGTTTAAGCAAAACTTTAGTGTGAGACTGACTCACTGGTCAATCTGAGGTGATCCAAGAGAGGAAACATGGCATGGTCTTTCTTTCAAATAAACCCTGTTCGATACTCTCTGGGTAAAGGTTGCTATAAAATGTTAAAAAAAAAAAATGTTGGACAAGAGAAAAAGAGGCTGGTTGTTTGGCTGTGGAAATTACTTGGTGTCTAGGGTACTTGTGTACGCTGGAATGTTAACTCTGGTTCTCTCTCCCTGAACATAAGTTCTGAAATCTCCCCCCTTTCCACCTCTAGGAAGCAGAGGGATTGGGAGTCTTCATCCCTCCTGAGCATCTCCAACCGAGAAAGGTGACTTCTTACCTTGCAGTTCCTGTCATCGATGCTGGTTTCCTCAAACTCTTCCCCCAGCTGGAAACTGATCTCTGTGTTCTTGAATGTGCACTGGGTCCTGATCACCACTTTGCCCCCTTCCTGACTGATTATCACCGTGGGTTTGGTCACATTTCCCACTTGCCTAGTGGCAAAGCCCACACCTGAAAGAGCAAAAATGGCCAGTGCAGTCAACAGCGACTTCCAAAACAGTTCATAAGGCAGAAATCTGCTTGCCGCCGCCGCTCTGAGAATCCAGAATTCTGAAGTGTAGGCTCCATTCAAACCTGATTAATGATTAGTCCATGAGCCATGGAACAGCTGAGCACAGACAAAGGAATATTGAACACAACCCACCACCGCCCACATTACGGAAGCTTCACATTTTCCACAGAATATCAAACCGTCCTGTTATTTGGTCCAGGGCAAGAAAACGCCACATTAAAAATTCTTTTAAGTGGGCTATGTATAGTCTAGCATATTAGGACGATATACTTAGCCTGTTTCACAGAAACCCAGGATCAAAACACAGTGTTAAAAAGAGAACAGCAAGTCTTATTTTTACCTACCCAGAGCCTTCATATACTCATCAAAATTCTGACTGTCTGTCAGCTTCCAGGTGGCACAGAAAGCTTCCACCATCCTTGCCCTCGGGGTCAGCCAGAAATAGGTAGGAGCTGGAGGAACTGGGGTCTCAGCCACCACTGTGATTCACAAAACCCCTTTGCACCTCAGCAGCAACCCCTGCCTTCTTATTTGGAAACGAAGCAGGCAAAAAGCCAATTATTTGAATTGCTAACTTGTCCCTCTTTCCAGTAGGCTGTCACGGGGGGAGGGGCTGGGCAGATGGCTCCAATCCCCCTTGTGATTTGCTCAGGCCACTGGGTTAGCGGAGTAGGTCAAGATCCTCCCAGTCCACACACCACAGTCCTGATGCCTGAGAACGCTCCATAGGAAGTCAGCGGGGCCTGAGAGCAGAGAACCGGAGAATGAGAGAGGGTTTTTTAGGTTCAGCGGAAAAAAACTTGGCAACTGCTGTCTCAAACTGGGAGGCAAGAAAAGAGAAGGACAATAAGACATTCAAATTGATTTCCTTAACCAGCATGCTGGTTGCAAATGAAGACCCCCCTTAAAGAAAAACTCACTGAAATGCCAGATTTTTCAGACAAAGGAGTCTGAATGGTGTATTTAATTTTCTCTTATATTTACACGGAGAGCAAAATGCAGACCCGAATACGCCAAACTGAAAAGATACAGGGGATAGGTGAAAGTGCAATCCCTAGATGCACTCTGTTTGAAACCTACTCAGAGTATCAATGAAATGTGATAGTCTGGCTCCCTCTCAACACAAACGCAGTGAATTTAAAGACCTTGTAGTTCTTTCTAAGAATGTAAGAACCAGACCGGAAAGGAAAAGGAACCTCAAAAAGTATGGTTAGGGTTCACTAATGAGTTAGAGAAACAAAGAGGAGAGTGTTTTCATTCACCTCTTTGAGTGGGCTATACAATCCATGTGGAAAAGCTAGACAGAAGATCATTTAGTAAGATCTTAAAGGACATTTTGGTTTCCTGAGGCCACATCTACCAAAATACGTTGCTTGCCTAAGTGCGGAGACAGGAACTGGCTGGGGTGGTGGGAACGTGGAGAGCTTTGCCTATGGTTTGTCCCAGCACAGTGCACCACAAGAATGGCAGAATTCCTAGAGTGTTCTCATGGAGGACTTAGAGGGGGTCTGTGAATTTCCCCTTCACCTTGAGATTCTCCCTGCTTTGTGGATGCAGGCCCCCAAAGAAACATCATTTTCTGCAGCTCAGAGAGAGGGCCAGGAGTCACAGTAGGTGTGTTCCATTCTACAACACATATAGAAGACAAGGGCTCACCTAGCTATGCTAGCTAGGTGACAGTACATTACCCTTGTTTATCATAAACACCCAAACTGGCTCTGTGCCGCTTTGCACAACGTATGTGAATAGTTCCACCAACTTGTTCAAATGAACAAGCCAAAAATCTACCAATTGTTTCTAATAGCGTACTCTCCATCGGAAGGCCTGGCTCATTTGGCTTCCCCCGAGTTTGGCATCTTAATGCCAGCCACTCTTGGCTTTACCTGATTCTATAACAACAACTACCTCACTCTTCTTTCAACTTCTCCTGCAACCAACCACCTTTTCAAATACAAGTCTGCCTTTCCCTCATTACTAAGGACATTGATCTTTTTTTTTTCCATGTGCTTTTTTGTATTTTGCATTTTTTGGATATAGTGACTATTTAAATATTTTCCCTACTTTAAAGTTGATTTATTTTTTTCCTATGGTGTTGTAGCCATTCTTTGTATATTTTCAATAACTTAGTCGTTGGGTATGTGTTTTTGCAAAAAAATCTCGTATTTTTCTTCATTTTCTTGGTTACAATAATTTTTTTTCCACCGATATGCCAAACTTTATTAAGTATGCATCTTAGGTATGTACAGTTGAATTTGTGTTAATTGTACCACAGTGTAGTTATTTTTAAAATTTCAATGTAGTTATTTTTAAAATTCCAATGTGATCTTGTCCTCTTATTTAAGCCATTCTATATGTATTCTTCTTATTCTCGAGTTAAAGACGGAAACATAAAGCAGACCTGGCCCTGACATCTGAAGGAGTCAGAGTGAGCCACACATGGGAGGTGGTGCACGTGTTAGACACTCAGCTTAGTGACTGAAATGTTTGTCCTTATGCGTTTGGCCCTTATATTTTTCAGACAAGGAATATGACAGACAGGTGTGTTTGTTCTGATTAAAAGTGCATATTACTGTAATTCTTTTGTAATTCATAAGAAGCACTTTGGGAATTTCATACTGATATGCGGAAGAGAATATTGTTATATAGATATCTATAGTAGAATTTTTGGGAGAGCCAATCTATTTTGTGACTACCTCAATCAACACATCTGAGAAAATTGGAAATATTCAGTATGTAATATATTAACACTGGATAACTCCTGCTTGAAATAGGAGTGTATTTGATGCTCTAAAGAGAAAGTCAGAGAGAAGAACCTGTGTTGTACTAAGGGAGCTTCAACAAATACTTTTTCCCAAACTCCCTAAGCCTTGGAGTAAGGTTTGACTCTGCTGGGGCTTTAATAATTTACATCCCCCATAAAATCAAGAAGGACAGACTGACCTTTTTCCTAGAGCTAATTCCTGTAAGTGTTAACTATTGACAGTGAGACCGCTAAACATTCCCATGACTGGTAGGGCTGGTGATGGGGCTCCGTGGCAAAGTGTGTGTGTGTCCAAGGCCCTATTTTCAGCAAGCCAAGGGGGAATAAAGAAATCCATTATAAAGATCTACTTACTCTAAGTAGTAAACTAGAAAAGGAGGGAGGGGGCTTTAGGAGGGGCAAATCTCCACACAAGGCTGAGTCTCTTGAAGCCTGCTTACTAATAGCATTCCCCTTTGTAAGACAACAGAACGTGGCCATAAATTTCCAACATTGTTCTTAATTAAAAAAAAAAAAAAAAAAAAAAAAAACTAACTAAGGTCATGACCAACGTGTCCTGTAAAATTCCCACAGGCAGTTGCTAAGGGAAATAAGCGACATTCAAGACCTTTTCATTATGAACTTACACAGAATCCTAATGGAACATCTTCACAGTTAAAATGAAATGTGACTTGTGTGGATTGTACTGTCGAGGCACATCTCTCCTATAATTGGCAAGAGAGAAAAGACCAGATACCACCCCCCCTTTTCTGAAATAGTGGCACAGATACTCTAGGGGCTCACCTGTCTGTCTTACTTACACTTCCCAGCCCCACCTGCACAACTAAGAAGTTAAATTTGCTCTGTGCCTGAGTGCTTGGAGGGGAGGGGGTGTTAATGTAATTCTGGTAATTGGATTTGATGGGGAGGAGAATGAAGCAGTGAAGAGAGAACCAGTGGACCATCTGTCCCTTTGTGATGTGAAATTTGTGTTTTGTGGTGCGGTGCGTGCAGAAAATACCTAGCCTGGACCAGAAAGGAACTGGAGCTCTATGTGGTACAGCTTGAAGAGGTCAGGGAGAAACCTCCTCTAGCCTCTTTTCCATTTCCTACCGTTTTGAACTTTCTACTTCCCATTATCTAAGTGTTCTATTCCCCATATTTTCTTAAACGTTAAATATAAAGGAAGTCCTTAGATCCCTCTCAGGTTGAAATGAGTCAGAAGACAATTTCTCTTATGCCCGGATTGTTATAAAAGTTTCAGGACCTTCCCTCCTTAGAGTATTGATGTGCAATAGCCCTGCCAAGAAAAAGCTCTTCTCTCAATCCCTTATTAACTTATGCTGTCATTTAGCGTCTAGCTCAGATATTATTTCCTCACAGGAGACCAGTTTAGAACCTTGTGGTTTTGTCATCTAATGTCTTTTCCACATATCATAATATCAGCTAAATATGTTCACAATTCATGTTTAATACCTTTCTCCCTCATAGGAACCCAAGTTCATGATTCACCTATTTTAATCTGCAATATAGTCCATGCTCATTGTCTAGCATAACATGAAATCTACAGTGTGTGCTCAATGATCATTAAAAGAATGGACAAAATAGAGTGAGCAAGGGAAACAAAACTCCAGAAAGATACATTGCTATCTATATGGTCTTTATCCTGATGTTTTTCTCTTTGCAGATTGTATGATCCCCAAGGTAAAATAACTAAGCTTCCTCTTCATTCCCATCACACTAATGTTTAGGTATGTTACCTCTCTAGTTGGCAGTGTGAATCCGGGAGACTGGAGCCTTAAAATGAGGCTGACTAAGGTCTCATGCATTCACAGCATCAAACTGTTGGTATTCTGAGGGTATTGTGAGGGTTAAGCAAGGCCAAATAAGCAAAGTTCACATGAGTTTGGGATATATGCAGTCACAAGGACAACCCACATCTGGAAACATCATCTGATTGATAATAGTAGATGAAGTAATCTGTAGATATAGTAATAGTAGAAGGTTAATCTGAAGCAAGCCCCCTCCTTTTTACCACACCTGAGAGGGACTGAAAGTAAGAACAACCCATGTTACGGAGCAACAGAGGTCATAAGACTTTCCCCTTGTTTTCTTGGTGTTTTCTCACAAGCTCTCAGAATTTTCCTCACATAGCTTCATTCATAGATTGTGTTTCGACAGGATGGACACTTAAGACTCTTAGTTTTTAGATTTCTCTTTAACATTTGAAGAAAACACATACGCAATAGTCTGGGAGAATATTTAAACGCATCATGCACTCATTAATGCAAGTGTGGAACAATCTTGTTTCTTGTCAAGTGGGGAAGACTGATGATAACAAATATACATAGACAGTGCCCTTTCGGTGTATTCTCAGGTCTGCTTATTATGGGTTATTTTCATTTGTATATTGGCAAGGCTTTTGTTTATTATTGCTATTCTCATAGTCCTTGAAGATTTCTGTTTTCTTTGTACATAATAATAGGTTTCCTGCCCTCCATAATAGGTTTCTCTGCTGACACAGTGAGCCATATCAAGCCAAACTGAAAAAGTATATCAAAAGGTTTATTTGAGCAAAGCAACTCTCAGGTGGGTTCTCCAGTCCCAGAGATGGAGGCCAGAGAAGCCACACCCACAAACGAAGGCAGGGAGACTTTATAGGATGTAAGCAAGGTGTGATGATGTGTCTGCCACAAGCTGGGCTTGTGCCCGAGTATGATCAAAAGCTGAGCATTTTAGGCAGGGTCTTGGGCAGCTGGCAACTTTAGGGGAGGTAGCTGTTTTAGCCACCAAGAATGCAGAGCTAGGCTTTTTGGTGCCTTACCTTTGTTTGGAGATTGTCTGAGAGGGCTGAAGGTTCCAACCAAACATTCTGACCTTTTTGGGTATATGAGTGCCAGTTCAAATCTGGCAACTTCCTGTAGGCATGGGACAATGTAGGGAGAGGGAGTTAGGAGTTGGTGGGCTCGTGCTCAGCAGGGGGT